AAAACACTTTTTAGCATTTCCACAGCAGGAACTCTCAATTTTTCAGAAGCAAAAGTGTAATTTCACTAGAATAGAAGCGAATATAATTACATTATGCATGACTGAGTAGATGAAAAGTTTTATTAGCAATAACTTTTTCACATATATTATACTGAGAAAGTTTCTAGTTTAGTTCTTTTGGAGATCATGGTTTTAAGAACTTGGAGCGTTTTTATATAAATACATAGGTTTTGTGTATATGTTATATAAATATATCTATATATATGCAAAGGATTTGTTTTAATGTTTTTATCCTAATGCTGTATTAAGTTTCTTAAGGCAAAATTATGTTTTAATAAACAAATGCATATTTGATGCATATATTTGAAAAAACTTGTAATTCAGGTTATATTCACATATTATACTTTAAATACTTATAAGGTCGTATCATATGACAGGCATTGTATTTGGCACTTGGATATATATCAATTCCATATTTAATATCTAAGTGACCTTGGGGAAATCACTTAAACTCTCTGTGCTTTGTTGTCCTCATCTATAAAATGTTAGCATCTACCTCATTGAGTTGTGAAGACTGAAATGATTGAACATGTGTAATACTAAGAATAGTGGCTGACACAAGTGTTAGCTATTATGACAATTATTCCTACAGAAAGAAGTTCATATTATGATAACTGCAGATATGTATTTAAGATTACAGAGGCACTGTATCATGACAGAGATATTCATTAAGAAATGAGGATAAACTCTGTTAGGATAGCAGTCAGAAAAGACTTCACAAAAAGGTGACCTTTGAGATGAGTTTCAGACAGAAATCCAATGAGTACATGAAGAGAAAAAGGTATTCCAGAGAGAGGGAATGAATGCAAGAGCATAAGGATGCAAAACGGTCCAACTGTGATCCCACTGAAAAGAGGAAACAGTAGACGAAAGAGCTAACAGTAGGGAGGACGGTTGAGGCCATCAAGTGTAACATTACCATCCAAACAGTCAGCATGGTAATTGTGTATTGATTATCAAGGCCAGTCATTTAAGTCTATAAATGGACATTTATATGTGAAATAATTACAGAAGTACCACTTTTCAGGTAATTTCCAATTCACTTTTCTTCTCCCCTCTCCCACATAGTTCTTTGTCTCTTTCAAATATGCTCCCAAAACTATGACACATGGAAGCTACAGGATCCCTCTTTTTTTTTTTTCTAAGCCTCTGATGCCAACACCCCAGAATTCAGATGTTTACACGGTCCCTATGCTCTTAACACTTACCCACCTGCATAAGACTGTCCAAATTTTCTTTCTGAGATAAAATAAGGTGGGAGGGAGAATTATTCAATTAAAATAAATAATTTATAACGGTGTTGAATGAATTGTAAAAACAAATATTTTAGTAGCTTTTAAGAAATTTGGCAAGTTGAGACATTTCTAAAATGAAAAATTATAAATTTTGAACATGTAAATCTCAGCTCAACACAATAATGAATACTTTTTTAGCACCGACTTTCTTAATGATGAATAGATGATATCATGATTTTTCACCAAAATGTCAATAATAGATCTTCTTGACCCTTCATCTGTGTCTGATCATTCTTAATCGCACCTTTGCATTCTACTCTCGATTTAGCAATGCCTTCTGAAAGCAGGAATTGACCTTTGGCATCTTCTCCAACTGACCAGTGTTGTACCAATTACTAGGCATGAAATCACACTGCCTGAGGAGAAAAAACAAAAAATAAATCACTGGCCTCCTTTTCCCTCCTAAGTAGACATTAAAATATTAAATAATATTATATGTGTATATAATAAAACCACTAAGAAAATCTGGGAAAGGCACACTAACATGGTTGCCACATCTTAGAGCTTCCCAAAGTATAAAGAAATTATACCAGAGAGCAGTAGCCCAACTGACCACTTTTATTCAGGATATTTTCGGTGAAAGTTTACCTAAGTTCATTAAGGTTAATTACACCTTGTTTCTACAGTTCTGAGGAGAGTTTTCAATTTAAATACAAAAGGGTGTAGAAAAAAGAATGATCTTTTACTAAGTGGAATTTCTTGTTTACCTTTGACATCAGTGTAAACTGTGCAATGACTTCATTCCACAGGAATTACCAAAATTTCTTCAGGATCTTTCTTCAACTGATGCCGATCTGCCCTGGAACCGAGCAAAAAACCGCTTTCCAAACATCAAACCATGTATGTGCTCTTACCGTCTCTGGTTTTAGCTGTGAAATGCTTTAACATGACCACAAAATGCATCTTAGCTTTTTTTTTTTCATTTCTCAAATATCTTTTATTGCATATTAATTAAATTATAATAATGTGTTTTGTTAGCAGCAACTTTCAAATTATAGCATTTTTGCTTTGTTAATTTTATTAAAGTTAACATACATGGTTTGCAGCTTGTCACACAAGGTTCACTTAATGCAGGTGCAAGAAACTGTAGACCTAATAGTTTTTCAGCTTTGTAATTTAACCCAGGGAACAAAACTCTCTAACATCATCCTACCGACATAATTTTCAAATGAAAAGAGAACGTTCACGTAAAACTTTGTGCATTAGTTTCCCTTAAGAGAATTGTGTTGTTTTCTTATGGAATATAAAAAATGCATTGCAAAATATTCATTGAGAATCAAATATATTTAATAAAGTTAATGTACATTTATGCTTACCAGGATTGGTTTTACAAATAAGGCTGAACTGTGCCTTACCATACTAAAAATGGCTTTGTTTTTCAATCAATAAGAAAAACAAAACATATTATTGCTTTAAGAATTAAAGAAAAAAAACATAACATACTTCTGTTAATAATAGCTATATATATGATGTTGTACTTTTGAACATGTTTCTGCTATCTACATTCTAATTTAATACCCTTTATATTATGAAATAAAAAGTGCCACTTGTGATGTTTTTAAATATTGTCAATATTTTTTTTTAATTTAAAGTTTTAAAATATTCTTAATTTTAAAGTAAATATAATTTTTCTCTTTGTGTTATGCCTTTTCAAAGCTATATTGGGGAACATTCCATACTTAAAAACTGAACTTTTCTGTCTAAAAAGACATGGACTTAGAGAAGGACACAGTCACAGAATGTAAAGTCACAAAGTATATGGATAGGGAGAAATGGGCCAAATTCTGATATTCTAGAACTAGTGGATAACTGAGACATGAAATAAAAAATTTAAGGAAACATGATATAGGAGGTAGTAATCTAATGGAATCTGCTAATTCCCAAGAATTAGAATAGGATGAAAATACAAATAACTTTAATCCTAAAATCCTTTCTGGAACAAAACAAATCGTAAGTAAATGACTTTAAGAGCAGTTGACAAATAAGACCTTATAGAAAATAAGAAATGTTTTACATCTCCAAACTTTTATGACATAACCTTTCTGAACAGGCCCTTTGGTCTTCCCTTTAAGGGGGTTAACTTGGGTTTGATGCATCATAAGTTTAAGAGTTATAGAAATTACATTTTTATACTCATCTGTACCTAAATTTCTTCCAGACTATCTAGTTCATGCACACTCAGTGATATTCTGTGAAAATAAATACTATAGTTTGATTGAAGGATAGTTACTATGTAATATTTAATATTTGTTTACAATTATATAGTTGGCTGAATGAATTTATTATATGTCAGTATATGTAAAATAAGTAAATCAAATATGTCTGATTAGTTGTCAAGAATCAAAGAATATTTAAAATATGTAAAAATTTGTTAGATATTTTAAATGTGATATTTCAATATTTTATTATTAAGATTTCACTGCATTATTATCTGGATTCACATCATAGCTATGAAATGGTCAGACAGTACCAACTTATTACTTATAGGATAAAATGAGAATAAGGATGGTTGATGGGACTAAATAAACACCCTTAGAACAAGAAGAACTGAGACACATGATTATTCCAACTCTTGATTTCTGAGGCTATGACAAAAAAAATAATTGTTAGTGATGGACTTATGTTGTAAATTAATGATGTACTGGAATATTAGAATGGAAAGTTCATGGTTTCTTATTTTCTTTGCTAGAGTCAAATGGATAATATCCAGTTGTTTTCTGCTTTCTTCTTAATTTCAATACTAAAAACCTATGGTACTTTTTCAAATAATATATTACATCTATATCTATGGATTTGAATGGGGAAACCTTTTTCTTAACTGTCCTCTTAAAGCAGTGGTTCTCAACCTTCTGGCCCTTTATATACAGTTCTTCATGTTGTGACCCAACCATAAAATTATTTTCGTTGCTACTTCATAACTGTAATGTTGCTACTGATATTAATCATAATGTAAATATGTTATATGCAGGATGGTCTTAGGTGACCCCTGTGAAAGGGTCGTTCGACCCCCAAAGGCGTCGCGACCCACAGGTTGAGAACCGCTGTCTTAAAGAGTTGGAGGTCCTATAAGAAATAACTTTGTTAGGCAAAATTTTATATTTTCCCAGAATGTTATTAGAATAATTTGTTAATTCAACTAACACATACCCTCTGTATAGTAATAAAAAATAATAAGCTAAGAATACATGGGTTCTAATCGAATACCCTGGGTTGTGATCCTATTTACCCACTAACTACTTTAGTGACTGGACATATTATTTGTGGTTTCTATCTCTTAAGGTTGTTGTGAGGGTCAGATGAAATAATCATGTAAATCAATTTTCCCAGTAGTGAAACAGGAAAAACACTCAATATGTTCTTACAATTATAAATAATCAGTAGGTTGCTTTTCTTACAAAAAAAAATGCGAACTTTCTGAGTGACTAAGACTTAGGAATAGGCCCTTATGATCTATAGTCTGGGAATAACAAGATCACTTTCCTAGCCTGGGTTAAATGGCAAGTGGTAAACTCACAGCCACCTCTATGTCCAGTACATCCACCACCCACCTCTTCACACACACACAGAATAAGCAAATGAGTTTAGACTAAATATATTTACCCATTGTGTTTGCAAAGAAGCCATAAAGCCACAGAAATGTTTTTTCTCCTGTAGAGAATGAATTCATTTTAATAGAATCTGAATTTCAGCCTGAGCCAGACCAGTGAAGTGCATTGTTTCCCTTGAGTAATGTAGGAAGTAGAATTTCAAATATCACAGTGCATTTTAGAAGATATTAGCTTACAGGGCTTTAAGATGCTAGAATTAGCCACAAATACTTGCAGAAGAGATTTGCAAATCTCTGCTTGACAGGACATCATGACCTTCAGGAGTGTTCCAACACTAGAAATAAAAAATTTAACTTGTTGTTGCCTCAGATAGTTATAAACAGACGTATCAAGTGAATAGAAACCTTCCTTAGTTACAGGACTAGCCACCATGTCATTAAAATAGTTTGATCATACCAAATTCAGAATCTTTGGAACATAATCATCAGCATGAATTTGCTAAACATTTCCCATCTCTAACTTTAAAACCATTGTGCAAGTCATTAGTTACTAACAATCTGGCTATGTCATTTTAACATATAACATAGACTCAAGTTTTAAGAATATGAAAAAACATTGAATGCTTACCATAAGTTTTATGTAAGTTTTCCTCAAGAGGATTCTACAAAATAAATATTATAGCTACATATCATAGCTGAGGTAACAAAGGAGGATAGTAGACAGATCATCTGGAATTCAAACCCAAACTCATTTACCATTTTTCCTCCGGTATTGAGTGTCTTCTCATTAAGGTTTAAAAAAATCATTCAAAATAATTAAATAGTAATAATATATTATTTTTATTATTCCCATGTCTACTTAAAATTAGCACTGGAAATTGTAATTATATTACCAACTTGGTAAAAAAAAAAAACCTTCAGGGAAAACTAATATTTTGAAGAAAAGTAATAGGGGTTATTTACATTTTCCAAATCTTAAAAATTCTAATAATTAAAAGTTTGGTATTAAATCAAGAATAAGCACATAAATTAATAGAAGAGAATAAGTACTCCAGAAATAGATGTAAATAATATAGAGAAATCTAGTGAATTAATAAAGTAATATTTTGAATTAGAAGGAGAAGGAGGAATATTAAAAAAATGGGGCCTATTTGTTGTTTCAAATGGCAACAAGCAAACAAACAATAAAGAATAGATTTTACTTCATTCTGTAAAATAAATAAATAAATAAATAAATCCCAATGTATTGAAATACTTAAAACAAAAGCAAAAAAGCATATTAAAGTTCCAGAAGAAAGTATGAATTAATTTGTGAAAATAGGAATATTGTTGACAAACACCTTCACATGAATGATAAGAGCAGCTGTAATGAAGCCATAATGAAAAGAAATGAGAAATTTGATTACAAAAAATATATATTTTATGTAGGATAAGATAGATAGCGAGATTGATAGAGTAAAAGACAAGCAACAAAGGAGAAAAGTTTAATACATAATACAATAGGACACATGTAACTTTTGTTTTTAGTATAAAGTATTTTTAATAGGAAAGTAGTAGAGTATGAAAATGAAATAATAGAAAAGGCCAACAAACAAGCAAAGAAGCTGGATTTTAATTATAGTTAAGGGGATAAAAATAAATATTGTGAGATATCAATTTGTGTCTGTCAGAAGATCATAAAATGTTTGATGATATTGTGTGGTAGTGAAAATAAGAGGAAACAGAATTGTTTGAACATTTTTGTTCAGAGTATGAACTGGTATAATTACAGAACAATTTGGGATTATCTTTCAAAATTTGAAATGTACATTATGTTTTGGGAATTTTACTGCTAGTAATATATAAATACACTCCAACATATATGCAAAAACTTCAGTTATCGCTATTCAGCATTTTATAAAACAAATGGTATTAATTCAAATCTTTAAGTATGATGTAATCAAACAATGAAATACTACATGGATTTTTAAAATAATGAGCTAGATATCATTGTTTACGTTAATATGGAATGATACAGGTAAATGAAAAAAGCAGTTTGTGATTAATTTTCTATGAGTATGTACAAAAATCTCTGGAAACGTATGCATATTAATATGCAAGGACATATTAATAGTCATTGTTTCTAGGTAGTGAAAATATGTGATAAAATGGAACTTCTACTTTACTTTTATACCCATCTGTAATGTTGAATGTTATATCATGAACTTCATTTATAGTAAAAATGTAGTGGCAAGTTAAAATGGAATTAGTATTGATTTCTTACATTTTTTTTCTAGATAATAATAACAGAGTGAAGCTGATAGCTGATGCTAGTATTCCAGGATCGGATTATATTAATGCCAGCTATGTTTCTGTAAGTTGTTAATTTTATATATTTTATATTTTTATAAAACATAGATATTGAAATTATATTACTTTTCTAACTATTTAAAACAACAAACTCATTATAATCTCTATGGATCCTGATGTGCCAGTTTCTTACAACTATGTACCCCCATTTTATAGAGGGGGAAATGGAGGCTTCTAATAGAGATTTCAACCTACCAACAATCATTTCACTAATAAGTGGCAGAAGTACAACTTCAGGTTATATATCTGCTTTTTACTATTTCATAAGCTTTTTCAATGTATTCTTTGTATACAAGGCCTGCCAGTTTCTCTTTCAAAGAAAAATTAGTCAAATGGACACTCCTGTCCATATAATATAAAAGTCTCTTATGCTTTTCTTCCCTTCTAGATTTGCTCTCCTTCAAGGGTACCATGATGCCATGTTCTTTTTTCTATCTTCACCTACTTGTAGAATGTAAACTCTGTTGTAGCTACTCAATAAACATATCTTACATGAACCAACATGGGGAAAATTGTGATATGCCTAATAGGCTGTCTTACACATCACAGATAATAAATGCTTGCTGAGTTGTATTAAAACAGAACGAAACCAAATTGTTCCAGAGATCTCTTTTTCCCTCTCATTCCCCATGGCTCTTTTTTCTGTCAAAGCTCATCCCCATCATGTGTACACGGGAACCTCATAAGCACCCAAGACCTTCACTTGACACAACCATGACATCTCAGAGTAGAACTGCCCTTGTGGTTCATTCAACAATTCACCTTGAATGCTTTCTTAAAAATTCCTGAAAATTAGATGTTAGCCTCTTTGGCACTGATTTGTCTACTTCCTTCTAAGGCAGATGATTCTATTTCTGAACAACTCTAATGTATTGTTTTTTTCTTTAACGAGATATGTTTATATTTTTCTTCCACTGGCTCCAATTCTAATACATAGCAAGGCTAACCATCTTTATCACGATGCCTTTACAGATACTTGAGGGTTTCCTCTTCTGCTCACTCACATAGGTCATTTATTCTTTTCTTATTCATAGGTCTTCTCACCCAGGCCTGCCATTCTCTTTGGTCCCATTGGGGCTTTGCTTATGTGATGCTGAATCCCTTCCCTGACATCAAACATAAGTGTCCTATGTCCCATTACCCCCAAGACTCTGCTGGGGAGGCAATTCATTCTAACTTCTATATTGGCTGACAATCACTAGCCAATATAATAAAAGCCTAAATTATCAATATGTTCATCCCTCTGCCTTTGGCTGTTCTTTGGAATTGTGCTCCTGGAACATGGACTCACAAAGAGTTTGGAAAATTTTTATAAAAGATGGACTGTGGATATCTTGCCAAGTGCCTTGGTTAGTTGGAGCATCATCCCATGTACCAAAAGGTGGCAGGTTTGATATAGAGTTAGGGCACATACCTAGGTTGCTGCAAGTTCAATCCCTGATCTGGATGTGTACAGGAGGCAACCAATCCATCTTTCTCTTTTATATCAGTGTTTCTCTCTCCCCGCCCCTCCCCTCCTCCCCTTCTACTTTCTGAACATAACCTGGAGTGAGGATAAAAAAAAAAGGGCTATGGGACAGAGGTGGGGAGAAAAAGGTATACTGCATGCCTGTAAACAGCCACTAAGTATACAAATGCATTTAGCAATGTTTTCAAGAGAGCAAAAATAAGAACATTATGTAATGAGACAAGCAGAGCCTCAAACCCTCAAAATTATCTATCCTGTCAACAAGATGACTGAAATTACATTAACTTGAGAATAACTTTTACCATAATTAGAGATGGATGATGAAAGGTTAGGATGCAAAACATCCCTTAAAATTTGTTCCCATTTTGATAGAATCCTATATAATAAAGAGGTAATATGCAAATTAACCCTCATACCCTCACAAGATGGCTGCCTACTACCAGGCTGGCAGGGGGGTTAGTGAGGGACCACCAAACAACTGAACAAGCAGGCTGTGTGGAGCAACCTGGCCGGCAGGGGGCCATGAGGGGTAACCAGGCCAGCAGGGAGGGCA